CGTGGCTGCTCTAAGCTCCGAACCCTATGGAATTTAGAGTTGTCTACGTAGCTGAATTTTGAATTGTTTATATTGTTACTGTCGTTTGTTTGTATTTGAATCGTATAGATCTTTCGAAGTTTGTTTCCTCGGGGAATTGTATTTGTATTTTCGTGAATTGCCTTGGGGCACTTTCGAGATCTGCAGTCTACAGTTAGTGGTTCGGAGCCATTAGTGTTTCAACGTTAGAAGCATGCCAGTGCTCTGTGGTGTAGGTAGGACAATATAAATTGGGTACGTTTAAAACCTGGGTTAATTTAGTTGGTTCTTGGAATAATTTTAGGGTTAATACGGTTAAAATTTTTGTGTAATTCCTTGCGCACTTTCGAGAGTTGCAGATTACATTTCGTAGTTCGTTGCTAATAGCGTTCCGTTTTTTAGACATACGTCGGTGGCGAATCCCTTCTGCGCTGCAAGGACATCATAGTTTGAGATGACGGAATAGAGAGTTTTGTCGTGACTAGTTCAACCATTTTTTTCTGGGCTTCAAGGCTTTTGAGGAGTTCCCTTTTCGTTTGAGACTGAGTGGTCGTGGAACGCTGGACCCGGTTTCTAGCAAGTTTCTTTGTTAACACTGGGTGTAATTGTGAGGTCCCCGGCCTCGACCATTTTGTGTTGAAATATAAAGTGAAAATTTATCAAAAAAAAAAAAAAAAAAAAAATCACGAACTCATCCAGACTTCCATTCCATCTCTAGCAAGCATTTCAAATTAGAAGGGATACCCCATTATTGGAATGAAAGTTTTCAAGTAAGACGGGGAATTTTAAAAGTGGAATGACACTGTTTATGATGGAATGAAAATTTAAAATTAAGAATGTATTTTCACTATAGAATGATTATTTAATTTTGAGAATTTTTTTTGTTGATTCATGAATTTACGTAGGAATTATTTGCGCCTATGTGACACCTGCGGCCTAGGCCGAGGGCATTTCGGCCGCTGTGGCCGAAAAAGTAGGCCACGGCGGCGGTCTATGAGACCCTGTCTGCGACCTATTTTTTTAATATTTTTTTTACCCCTAAAAATACGTAAAAACAAAAAACAAATATAGGGACCCCTATGTTTTTTATTTCGGAATCCAACTTCGTTTAAGATTTAAAAAAAATGAAAAACGAAATTCGATTTAAAAAAAAAAAAAAAAAAGCAGAAATTTTTTTATTTATTTATTTCTATTATGAGGGATATGGTCCCTGAGTTGTGCTATATTTTGTTTTGAAATATTTTTCGGTTTTTTGTTGCCAAATTAGGTGTTTAAAAAAATAAAGATGCAAAAATTTAAAACAAATCAACAAAAAAAAGGGGCGTGGCTGGGGTTGGTGTGTGTGTGTGTGTCCTCTTGTGTATGTGTGTGTGTGTGTGTGTGTGTGTGTGTGTGTGTGTGTGTGTGT